AGAAGAAATAAAAAATGAAACTGAAAAATTCCCTGAATCAAATGAGAATGAAAACACAACATATCAAAATCTTTGAGACACAGCAAAAGCAGTGATCAGAGGCCAATTTATAGCAATAAATGGATACATCAAAAAAGAAGAGAGCCAAAATCAACATCTTAACCCAACATCTCCAAAAATTAGAAAAAGAGCAGCACAAAAAGCTTACAGTCACCAGAAGAAAAGAAATAATAAAGATTCAAGCAGAAATAAATGAAACAGAAAATAGAAAGACACTCGAAAAAATCAGTGAGACTAGAAGTTGGTTTTTTGAAAAGATGAATAAAATCGACAAACCACTGGCAAATTTAACAAAGGAAAAGAGAGAGAATACAAATAATGAATAAGAAATTAATTGGGCAGTGTCACAACAGAACCAACAAAAATTAAAAGGATAATATCAGGATACTATGAAGAACTGTACTCTAACAAATTTGAAAATCTAGAAGAAATGGGCAGATTTCTAGAAACATACTACTTACCTAAACTAACACAGACTGAGGTGGAAAATTTAAACAGACCCATAACAAAAGAAAAAATTGAACAGGTTGTAAAAAATTACCAACCAAAAAAAGCTCTGGCTCAGCTGGTTTCACTGGAGAATTCTACCAAACATTCAGAGAAGAACTGACACCAATCCTACTCAGAATATTCCACAACATAGAAAAGGATGGAATCCTCCCAAATTCATTTTATGAAGCAAGCATAACCTTGATACCAAAACCAGGCAAAGACATCAATAAAAATGAAAACTGCAAACCAGTATCTCTCATGAATATAGATACAAAACTCTTCAACAAAATTCTAGCCAGTAGACTCCAACAACATACCCCGAAAATAATACATTATGACCAAGTGGCGTTCATACCAAGTATACAAGGATGGTTCAACATTAGAAAAACAGTCAACGTCATCCATCACATAAACAAAGGAAAAGAACCACATGATCGTATCAGTCAATGCAGAAAAGGTGTTTGATAAAATCGAACGCTCATTCCTGATTAAAAAAAAAAAAAAAAAACTCTCAGCAAAATAGGAACAGAAGGTACATTCCTCAACATAATAAAGGACATATTTACAAAACTAACAACCAACATTATTCTCAATGGAGAGAGACTAAAATCATCCCCTTGTGAACAGGAAGCAGACAAGGATGCCCTCTATCACCACTTCTATTCAACATTGTATTGGAAGTTCTAGCCAGGGCAATAAGGCAAGAAAGAAAAATCAAAGGCATCCAAATTGGTCAGGAAGAAGTAAAACTATCCCCAAGTTGCTGATGATGTGATCCTATACATAGAAAACCCAAGAAACTCAGCAAAAAAAAAAAAAACTACTGGAACTAATTGAGAGATTTTAGCATAGTGGTGGAATACAAGATCAACATATGAAAATCAGTTGGATTCTTCTACACCAGCAAAGAGATTGCTGAAAAAGAAATAAGGAAATCAGTATCATTTACAATAGCTACCAAAACAATAAAATACTTGGGAATAAATCTCACTAGGGACACAAAAGACCTGTACAAAGAAGACTACAAAACACTACTCCAAGAAATCATAAGAGATCTACATAAATGGAAGAACGTACCATGTTTGTGGATAGGAAGATTGAACATTGTAAAAATGTCAGTACTACCCAAACCAATCTATACATTCAATGCAATCCCAATCCAGATCCCATCAACATTCTTTAAGGATATGGAAAAACCAATCACTAACTTTATATGGGAAAGAAAGAGACCTCAGATAAGCAATGCACTATTGAAAAAGAAGAACAGGGGAGGAGGTCTCATACTCCCAGATCTCAAAACGTACTGTACAGTCACAGTAGTCAAAACAGCCTGGTATTGGTACAACGACAGACACATAGACCAGTGGAACAGAATTGAGAACCCAGAAATAGAGCCATCGATCTATGGTCAGCTGATTTTTGACAAAAGGCTGAAATCCATTACATGGGGAAGAGATAGTCTCTTTAACAAATGGTGCTGGCAAAACTGGATATCCATTTGCAAAAAAATGAAACAAAATCTGTGCCTCACACCATATACAAAAACGAGCTCCAAATGGATCGAAGACTTAAATGTGAAACCTAAAACTATAAAGTTCCTCAAGGAAAAACAAGGGGCAAATTTAGGGGCCCTAATTTATGGCATAAATAGATTGTCAAGCATAACCCAAAGTGCACAAAGAATTGAAGATGAACTAGATGAATGGGACCTTCAAAAAATCAAGTTTTTTTTTTTTT